ACCAAGGCACCATTTTTGCACGGAGGGCGCGGCAAAAAAGCACGAACTGAGGCACCATTTTTGCACGGAGGGCGCGGCAAAAAAAGCACGAACTGAGGCACCATTTTTGCACGAAGGACGCGACCAAAAAAGCACGACCTGGGACCCCTAGAACGCGGGACTGGACAGAAAAATTTGGCCAAAGTCGCGGTGCAAAAATGGTGCCTTGGCTTGTGCTTTTTTTAATATAAAATCAATTAAAACCAACGAAAAAAAGCACGAACTAAGGCACCATTTTTGCACGGTGGGCGCGGCCAGTTTTCACAATTTCTTAGTGGCCAGTGCGCGGACTGGATAGACTGGAGGTGGCTGGGGCAGCTGAGGTGCGCGAAGCCTGCGCGCAAAAAACTTGATCTCCAGCCCACCTAACGGCGCGCAAACAGGGAAGTTGCCAAGATTGAGGCTGCACTGCGCGACAAAGCTTCTGGGAACAGCAAAGGTAGCCAGATTCACTGTGCCAAAAATTTTTCTGGGAGCAGCAAAGATTGCAAGATTCAGTCTCTACTGTGCGACAAAGCTTCTGGGAACAGCAAAGGTAGCAAGATTCACTGTGCCAAAAATTTTTCTGGGAGCAGCAAAGATTGCAAGATTCAGTCTTTACTGGGCGACAAAGTTTCTGGGAACAGCAAAGCTAGCAAGATTTACTGTGCCAAAAATTTTTCTGGGAGCAGCAAAGATTGCAAGATTCAGTCTTTACTGTGTGAAAAAGCTTCTGGGAACAGCAAAGCTAGCAAGATTTACTGTGCCAAAAATTTTTCTGGGAGCAGCAAAGATTGCAAGATTCAATCTTTACTGTGCGACAAAGCTTCTGGGAACAGCAAAGGTAGCAAGACTCACTGTGCCAAAAATTTTTCTGGGAGCAGCAAAGATTGCAAGATTCAGTCTTTACTGTGCGACAAAGCTTCTGGGAACAGCAAAGGTAGCAAGATTCACTGTGCCAAACATTTTTCTGGGAGCAGCAAAGATTGCAAGATTCAGTCTTTACTGAGCGACAAAGTTTCTGGGAACAGCAAAGGTAGCAAGATTTACTGTGCCAAAAAATTTTCTGGGAGCAGCAAAGATTGCAAGATTCAGTCTTTACTGTGCGACAAAGCTTCTGGGAACAGCAAAGCTAGCAAGACTCACTGTGCCAAAAATTTTTCTGGGAGCAGCAAAGATTGCAAGATTCAATCTTTACTGTGCGACAAAGTTTCTGGGAACAGCAAAGGTAGCAAGATTCACTGTGCCAAAAATTTTTCTGGGAGCAGCAAAGATTGCAAGATTCAGTCTTTACTGTGTGAAAAAGCTTCTGGGAACAGCAAAGCTAGCAAGATGTACTGTGCCAAAAAATTTTCTGGGAGCAGCAAAGATTGCAAGATTCAGTCTTTACTGTGCGACAAAGCTTCTGGGAACAGCAAAG